ATCCGTAGAGCATAGAATGAATATTCCGGAAAAGGAAGCTTGTTTTCCACTCACGCTACCACCTACTTTTGGAATCCAGCCAATGGAAGCCGGGAAGATGTTGTCAGGAAGGGTAAGGAGCTTTGTGTTTTGAAGAGTGTTGAGGTTCCACGAAAGAATTTTGTGATCGTCTGAAATCGTGACAAATTCTTCCATGGAGGTCCATACTACGCATGTAACCGTGCTCTCTAGTGTCAAACATGCTGGTTAAGGATATATTCCGAGGAAGAAATTCACACAATAACGCGCTAGTAGTAAGATATGTACATTTTAAGTAGATTTTTAGGTAAGTGGGGGAAAAATATTGCTGTCTTATCTTATTAATAAGCAGGTTGTTAAGCTATGAGTATGCGTATGATGAAGCCAAGTCGGTGTAAATTTGTATTTTAGAAGAACTTATTGAAAAAGTTTTTGAATTTCCATTTTCAAATCGCTCGTACTTTGAATGAGCAATAATCTGCCTTTCTTCACTAGCGTGGTCTACACAGAATATATCGTGATACAAAATTTATGTTGTTGCTGCAAAGTAAAAAAATCTGCTGTTTTCACCGAGGGGTTTCTAAAATCCTATAAATCTAACTTCCCGAACTGGTCGTACCCAGAATAACTCAAACTAATTGATCTACATACCTGAGTAGAAAAACATATTTTTAGCTGAATGGTCTAATTTCGTTTTTCTTGGTCTTTTCCTGTGTCTAAGTTCCATTTGAGGCAGATTGGCTAAGGCTTATACATTTCATAAGCACTGTGTTAACAGAGAAACACTTAATTCTCAGGCAAAACAAAGCACCGAAAATGCGAATGTTTTTCAAAGGCGTTTGTTTTTAAAGATGAGTGCTGCCTTTGGAGAATCACTGCTAGTACTGCTGCGTAGAATTTGACCCCAAATCGATCACTTGTATGCATCATGAATCGTTTAAATCTTGCTGCGCATTTATAGACAGCATTAAAATATAACACATCCAAGTATTTTGCATTAAGCTGTTCTTAAGAACGCAATATGGCCATCATAAACAGTCTTTTGCGATCGCATCGTTGACTTCCTGAAACATAAAAATACTGCCAAAACAGTGTTTGAGAAGGTGTAGTTTGACTCAACTACGCACTGATCCTACCATATAGATGGGATCAATGAACGACTAACATTCGACTTCCCCTAGCATATTAGCTAATGTGCACAAATTTCTAAAAAATCAGGAAAACCCTCTCCAAACTATTTGACTCATCTTTTCCCAGCTCAAAGTGTATACTTTTGACACCCGTTATAGAAATAACTGCAATGATAAACCAATCGAATGTCAAACGGCAGATAATTCGTGACAAATACATACGCCGATAATAAATATTAAGAGTTTTTTGGTTAAAGCTCTGGATTAAGTCTCTTTTTAACGCTTTCACATAAGAACCGGCTCCAGCTATAATTTACTTGTTTATTCGGTACTATCAGGTTCACAAATATGCAGACGATTAAAATTATCATATCAAACAGAAAGTGATTGCCAAGAATGTAAAAATAGGCAGCAACGTGACGCCTCATGCTCTACAAAATTTTTGACAAAAACACTTGAGGTCAACTAACGTCAACTATTTTATCAGCTACGCTGGAAAAAAAGGATATGTTTTAGTGATGGTTCTGATATAACTTTTAATTTCATTTGTAATTGCGGAATAAAAAGTCCATTAACTACACTAGTGTAATCAAATGTGGTGCATTATAACACATTCTATAGTATCCAGTGCATTTGTACAGGTTACCCCAAAATTTCCCTATTCAATCCTCTGACAGAAACTTTCACTTCCGCTGTTGTAAACGAAGGTGCAGAGTTTAACCTAAACAGCCTAGTCGAGTTTCTTCTACAGCTTCTCCCATGCCGCGAGGCGATGAGCAGACAGTGACAACTGCTGTCAAGACGCCGCGAAACGACGAGATGACCAGATGATATAAACTAATTGTGCGACATGTCCTTTTTCCCCCCTGCCCCCTTTAATCTTTTAAAAATCCCCCCCTCCCCCTTAAATACCGTTGATTGGTTGCTTAAACTTTTGCTAACTCTACC